AGGGTAGCCGTGTCGTCGTCCTCTAGCAAGCTAATGTCTCTTCGTTTGCTATGGGAGGGCTCCAGGTGTCAGGTAATGTGAGGCCCCTGTGATTAGTTTGGGAGGTTAGGGCAGGTGGCTCTCTTAGCGCCTCAGGAACCCATTCAACCCACCCCCTACCCGATTCGTCAGGTGCCACTCAGACCGATGTTGGTTGTGCAGGGTAGGCCTGCTGTTGGCAGTAAGCCCACTTTACCTGTGAGTAAAGAAGAAAGAAAAAAAGGGGGGGGAGGGAGAGGGAGTGTACTGAAACCTCCTGCTCCATCGCGATATGCTCCTCATTTCAAGACCCGCGTGTCCAGCATCTCCAGGTCAATTGTGAGGGGAGGTCCAGGGCTCTCCCCGGTCCCCTCCCGTAGATGGTGGGGGTCCACGGTCTGCTTGAACTACGCGTTGAGCCATGTAGGTGCACCAGAGTAGCCAGGCAAGGGCGCATTTCTTGTGCCACTTGGGAGGCTGTGAGGGATTCCATGCTGTATAGGTCCTCCACCCGGTCCATCCATTGTTCCATGGTCGGTGGATCCGCTGAGCGCCACATGATTGGGATGAGGGATTTGGCCGCACAAACAAACATTTTAAGTAAACAGTCAATTCCGCACAACTGACTGTTTAGTGAAGAAAAAAACTCACAAAGTTGTATTCCTAGCACTATAGTTCCCCCTGGTACCCCCTCCCTCGCAGCCCCCTGTACTACATGGGTTTAAAAAAAACCTTGTAACACTTACCTGATTCCAACAACGATGTCCCTCGGAGGCAGCAAGAGCATTAGGCCCTCCCCATAGGATAGAATTGCTGCAATGCTTTGCTATAGGAATTTAACTAATGCAGGATGCCCTCAAGCAGAGCGGGAGGACATCCAGCGTCAGTAAGGCGACCAAAAGTCACCTAGCAGGCAGGAAGTGCCTCTTGTGGCTCTCTAAGTCCTGCAATGTAATTATTGCAGTTTCTTAGAAAATGGAATGATTAACATTGCAGGTTTAAGGGGACAAGAACATTCAGTGAGTTGAAGTGGACTGGGGGCCTATAGTGTCCATTTAAGCTAACAGAGCCAGTGGTTTATTCACTAAGCTCTAACCAGAGGTGGCTCTAGACTTTATGAGGCTTTAGGCGAAACTCAAACATGAGGCCCCACTAACAAAAAAGTGAAAAAAATAGAGTTGCAATATATGCACACTGTCACATATACACATTGATGCACAGTTAACCTGTGTATGTGCCTGAGAATGTGTCTTACAGAGAGTATCTTTGTGAATGTGTGAATGTATGTGAGCATGTTTGCGTTTTTCTCTGGGACGGTATGTGTATGGGGTAGCTGCTTGAAGTGTGTTGTGTGTATGGGGGTCTGCCTGTAGCCTTTGTGCATTGTGTTTATGGCAAAACTATGTTTCCTGACTCTGTGTGTATGATGAATGTCTTCAGCTGGTGACTGTGACAAGGTGAGTAAAGGGGTACTAGTGGCAGGGAGAGTGTGGCAGGGCAAAGGGGGGGTTTGTGAGAGAATGAGGGACAGGGAGTATGACATGGTTTGATGAGGGAGTGTGACAGGGCGAGTGGAGGTAAGTGTGTCATGGCAATTGTGGCATGGTAGGAGGGACAAGTGTGACAGGATTAATGGGGGTTAATGTGACAGGGTGAGTGTGGCAGAGTGAGGGCAGGTGAGTTTGGAGGGGGTGAGATTAACAGGATTAGGAGTGGTTAATGTGAGTGTGGATGCATGAAGAGGCTGACAGTGTGTGGGTGTGTGATGACAGTGTAGGGAGGGGTGACAATGTGTTTGGAGGTGACAGTGTGAGGGGATGCTAACAGTGTGTCTGGGGAGGTTGTGTGTGTGAGGGGGGGTGATCCTGTGTGTGAGAGGGGGATGATGGTGAGAGGGGTGATTGTGAAAGGGAGGGTGATGTTGATAGGGAGGGGTGATGGTGAGAGGGAGGGGTAATGTGAGAGAGAGGGGTGATGTGAGAGAGAGGGGTGATATGAGAGGGAGGGGGGTGATGGTGAGAGGAAGGGGGTGATGAGGGAGGGGGTGATGTGAGAGGAAGGGGGGGTGATGGTGAGAGGGGCGGGGTGATGTGAGAGGAAGGGGGGTGATGTGAGAAGAAGGGGGGTGATGGTGAGAGGGAGTGATTTGTGAGGAGGGATGATGGGGAGAGGTGGGGAGTAAAAAACTTTTTTTGTTCCCTGGTGGTCTAATGTGGGCTGACTGGTGGTCCGGTGGCCATTATATCCGGTCTGCAACTCCACAGAGCTGCAGACCATTTATATCTCGCGGGACACGTTAGAGCGTTGTCGTGGTAACCAGCGGCAACGCTCCGATTGGCCAGTTCTCGCAAGACACATGGTCTGCAGCTCTGCTCACTGCGGTGTCTGCGATTGCTGGCCGGCAGCCAGGAGGGGCCTCGCACCCGGCAGCATACTGAGCAAGCCACCGGACCCCTCCTGGTGTTGGGTCCTTGGTCACTGACCGAGGACCCGACACAGTCTGCCCTAAGCCGGTTTAGGCGGCCTAATTAGAGAGCCGCCTCTGGCTCTAACAGAGTAGCGAAACTGACAACATAGCTTAGAGAAGTTTTTCATTTTGGCTATTTTAACCTTAAATTTGAAATTCACTTTGAATTCTCACTTTAGTAAATAAACCCTGTATATTTTAGTGAATTGAAAACCGAATATCAAAATTTAGGCAAATTCCAAATCCACTTTAGGCACGGCTTGACTATTTTAGCCTGAGGTTTGCAATTCAGTTTTCAACTTATAACAATTTCTTGTTAAAAGACAATCATTCAGTGTATGCAATGCTACATTGTTTATTGGTAAACTCTCTCCACCTGCATCTCTCCTGTAATCATTGAAGAGCCTTGCTGTCGGTAATTGATTTTTCTGATCTGCAGGATCCTTTTTTTTTTTTTTTTTTTTTTAAATCCCAAATCTTGCTAGCTTTCTAGATTTTTCTGGGAGTTTTACATCTTCTGCCATGTTAGTCCCTTTTTACTGCTATGTTGATGTATTTCTCCCATGCACAGTAGCGGGCTCCGGGTAACTCGACTAGTTACCTCTGCTAATTTCCCTCTCAGCCGGACTGGAACCTTGTCTGATTGTACTGTTTTTGGGAAGAACAATTAGGAGAGGGTTACAATAATCCATGCGGGAAATTACTAGAGCATGGACAAGTTCCTTGGTAGCATCTTGCGTGAGGAAGGGGCGAATGGAAGAGATATGGAAGGAAAGAGAGATTTGAAAGGGAGAGAGAAACGTGGGGGAGAGATATGAAACATAGAATGTGACGGCAGATAAGAACCATTCGGCCCATCTAGTCTGCCCAATTTTCTAAATACTTTCATTAGTCCCTAGTCTTATCTTATAGTTAGGATAGCCTTATGCCTATCCCATGCATGCTTAAACTCCTTTACTGTGTTAACCTCTACCACTTCAGCTGGAAGGCTATTCCATGCATCCACTACCCTCTCAGTAAAGTAATACTTCCTGATATTATTTTTAAACCTTTGTCCCTCTAATTTAAGACTATGTCCTCTTGTTGTGGTAGTTTTTCTTCTTTTAAATATAGTCTCCTCCTTTACTGTGTTGATTCCCTTTATATATTTAAATGTTTCTATCATATCCCCCCTGTCTCGCCTTTCCTCCAAGCTATACATGTTAAGATCCTTTAACCTTTCCTGGTAAGTTTTATCCCGCAATCCATGAACCAGTTTAGTAGCCCTTCTCTGAACCCTCTCTAAGGTATCAATATCCTTCTGAAGATACGGTCTCCAGTACTGTGTACAATACTCCAAGTGAGGTCTGTACAATGGCATGAGCACTTCCCTCTTTCTACTGCTAATACCTCTCCCTATACAACCAAGCATTCTGCTAGCATTTCCTGCTGCTCTATTACATTGTCTGCCTACCTTTAAGTCATCAGAAATAATCACCCCTAAATCCCTTTCCTCATATGTTGAGGTTAGGACTCTATCAAATATTCTGTACTCTGCCCTTGGGTTTTTACGTCCAAGATGCATTATCTTGCACTTATCCACATTAAATGTCAGTTGCCACAATTCTGACCATTTTTCTAGTTTACCTAAATCATTTGTCATTTAGCTTATCCCTTCTGGAACATCAACCCTGTTACATATCTTAGTATCATCAGCATATGGAAGGGAGGGAGAAATGAATGGAAAGTGGGAGAGAGACATGGGGGGAAACCGAACATGGATGGAAGAAGGAAAAGAGACATGGATGGAAAGGGGGAAAGAAGAGACATGGATGGAAGGGGGGAAGAAGAGTCATGGATGGAAGGGTGGAAGAAGAGTCATGGATGGAAGGGGGGAAGAAGAGTCATGGATGGAAGGGGGGAAGAAGAAACATGGATGGAAGGGGGGTAGAAGTGAGCAGAGTGGAGTGTGCAGCCACACATTACTCTGCCTGGAGATTGCAGAGGGACTAGGGAGCGAGCGGAGCGGCTACCAACCTGGCTGAGACCGCAGTTTGCAGAGAGACTGAGGGAGCGAGTGGAGCGGACACTCCAGACAGTGGCATTACTACTGAGATAATAAGTAACTTGAGGTGAAGCTTTTGAGTGAATTATTAGTTAAGCCTTTGAGTTTGACATGCTTGATGTAAGGGCTGTTTTTGAAGTTGCATTTCCCCCCACTCCCCCCTCCAGTATTTGTCATTAAAATCTGCAGAACAAAACAATACCTGCCTTAAAAGGTCTTTAAAAATATATATAATTTAAATACTGTGAGTTAAAACTAATCCCATCCTGCAGTGCACAATGTATACTATTTATTTTCTATATAAATAAATGGGCACGTAAAATGTGACAAGGGATGGCTGCTGTATAAAGCCAGAAATGGAATATTAGCCTAAGTGTAAGAACATTCCACATCTTTGTGAGAAGGAAAAGAGAGTTCTCTGAATAGGCATTCGATTGAGACTGGCTGCAGATTCACTTCCTGCTTCGGATTCTGTGAATGGCTGTGAATAGGCTGAGCTGTGCATGATCATTATTACTAAGGGATGACCCGTGTGTGTAAGGAGGCTTCTTCTTTTATTTTTTTATTTATCACAAATCTAAATATATGGTAGGGATTCACTTCTTTTACATCGTTTCCTTGTAGAATTTTCTGATGTACATTTTAAACTTGGTTTCATTTGAACTCTGCTTCTAATAGTGCCAGCCTGCTTGCTAATCTCTGCATTGTAGTCAGGGTTTTTTTTTCATTCTTTAAATGTTTTCAACAGAAAATCTCTGTAAGTATGTTTTATGCTGTGTTTTGTTTTGACAAATGTGCATATTATGTTCTGAGTCAGAATGCTCTTTAATTGGGTTAGAATTCTCTTATACTTTCCCTTTTCACCACCTCCAGTTTCTGTTCTGTTTTAACTCTTTATTATCATATATTTGATGTCTCTGTCATAGCCACTGTACAGCTCTACAGACTATGTTGGTGCTCTATGAATTATAATAATGGCATACACTTTTAACATCTTTCTTTTTAAGTCAGAATTTTGACATCATTTTTCTGTTGTTGATTGAATATAAGTATTTCTTTGGGCACGGGAATTTATATAAATGCTTATTTTGTATGCTAGACGTTATATAATTTTCCAGAGAAGCTGCCAGATCACTGGGATGTTTAGTAACTCTGGGGCGTGCATGTAGGCGCTTGCTTAATTCCTAGATAAGTTTTGACGAGTGTTTAATTATTTATTGCAGTTTACATAATACAATTAACATTGTGCTTCATTTTGTCACAGTCATTAATCTGCTTTTGTGAATGTTCTTACGCCTATTTTATTATTTATATTACATTGACATGTTTTTGATCCACCTGTGTTTTAGGACTAAGACCTGGGGACAGACAATTGCCTTGCAGTGGGAAGAGGGCTCCTCCATGTTGTGACTACAGTCTGCAGATGTGTATGGACTTCAGAAAGCAACTGTGCTGCAAGAACACGTTTTGCCTCTTACTTCCCGGAATGACTGACTTGTAGCCTTGTGTCAGGATAAGAACTGTTAAAGGACTTTGCAGAAAAAATAAATAAATGGAGGTGGAAGGTGAGCACAGGATGCTGGGTAATCATTCCTTATCGAATTGCATTTTTAATTTAGACCATCCCCTGTTATTCTTCAGCAGCTTGCATATTAAATATTTTATACCCACAATGAAAACATGCATGGATTTATTTCTGCATTTTATTTCTTCTGGTGGTAAATCGAATAAGCGCTTGCAAAAGCTGCAGATCTCTTGTGTGCAGCATTTGCAACCCTCTCATTTTACCTTTTTTAGTCTGTGCTAGGGAATACTCCAGTTAGGGGCTTCTCGACAAAAAGCCTCTATGCTGGAGGAGTGATCAACATATGCATGCAATCGCGGCTTTCCTATGGTTGTAATAACGCTCATTAACAAGGGCAAAAGACTGGCATGCGCTAGCTAACAAATACAGACGAAAATCTCCAGGTAGCCAGGGAAGTGTTTCTGCCCAAGCACTGCAAAAAAAGACCGCATATGTAATTAAATTAAAGTTGTTTTGGTGCTCAGTGTCCCTTGAAGGTTCCTAATCTTAAATCTGTGCAAAAAATAAGTCTGTTGCCATCGCACATGTTCTCTAAACCTGGAAGAATGGCCCAGTCAAATGCTTCTCTATAGGAAGCATTTAATTGGACTTCAGAGAGTGAAGGAGTGACATCAGACAAGGCAGCAAGGGGAACTTTGTGCAGTGCTGGGTTCCAGGTAAGTTTTTTTTTTTTTTTTTTTTTTTTTTTTTAATGCTTATGTTTAAAAAAAAAAAAAAAAAAAAATCAAAAACAAAATATCAACCCTTAATAACTGGTTGGACCATGTGAATAATACCCAATAGGCATAATACATAAATAATTTTAGGTAAAAGTGTTTGATTAATCCATTAAAGATGATTTAAAGTGATAGCTATGCTGAATTACATGATAATCATTGAACATTAATTGGTACACATAAAGTGCCATATTGGACCGTGATTAAAGGACCACTCTAGGCACCCAGACCACTTCAGCTTAATGAAGTGGTCTGGGTGCCAGGTCCAGCTAGGGTTAACCCATTTTTTTTTGTAAACATAGCTGTTTATAAATGAGTTAATACAGCCCTCAAATCCTCTAGTGGCTGTCTCACTGACAGCCGCTAGAGGCGCTTGTGTGATTCTCATTGTGAAAATCACAGTGAGAAGACGCCAGCGTCCATAGGAAAGAAGTCCCTTGACCGGCTGAATGTGAGCGTAGCTCTTGCCGCGCGTGCGCATTCACCCGAAAGGGAGGAGAGGAGGAGGATCGGAGGCGGAGAGCCCGGCGCTGGAGAAAGGTAAGTTTTAACCCCTTTCCAGTGAACCGAAGAGAACACTGCCCACATTTATATCTGTTGGGAAGATGATACTAACCTTACTTATATCCATCCATCCATCTTTAGGGCCTGGGAAGTGAACACTCAAAAACATGATGGTGTCTGGGTGTAGAGCACATTTCACTAGTTTGCATTGTCTGTTTGCACGGCCAGTGAATAGGAGAGCCAGGTTCATCATGTCACACAAACCGTGCTTCTTCACATGGTCCCTCATTATATGATTACATTATTAAACAGATTGTTCTGATTTTGAAGAAATTAACTTTTTTACTATGTTTTTTTAAATAAAAATCTTTTTGTATGGTGCATGGTAGTGTTGTATGTTTTGTTTTTTGTCTTTGTATATACACTTAACCGTATATTTAAAGTCTTTGCACGTCTCTTTCAGCTACTGAAGTGGACGAATTGAGGCAAAGAAAGAAAACTACCATTGACGAAAAGGAAAATGAGACTGCACTAAAAGAAAAACCCAAAAATAACAAAAAGCTTGCAAAGTCTTCCAAGTGTAAGTTATCTCAAACTGACACACACCAATGACAATCGCTATTGCCAAGGCCTTTAATCTTGTGGGTTTTGAACACGCACTCCCAAAAATATAGTTTTATATATTAGAAGGCTACTTAAAATCTCATATTTTGACAAATAAATGTGGGGATTTCATCACAATATTTGGCCATAAAGCAGGTCCCTTTGCAGAATAATCAATCATCCGATGTAAAGGGCATTGTACCAAGGCTGCCACCCTAAATGGGTTCTTCAGTATAGTTTGCATTAATTATTTTATGGCTGAGGGCTTGACACATCTGGCATATTTCTGGCTTGGAAAGGTTCACTATGTTACAAATAATGCCATAGATTTTGACTCCTGACTAATTGCTTCCTTAATTTGTAACCTAAGGAGACAAAGTAACCCTGTTTGTCATGCTGTGCGAGGCAATAGGGACCATCTCGTATAGCAGGTGATGTGGATATTGACACGGTACTGGTTTACTAGCTATGTACAGACAGTTCATTGTGCTGTACAATTGGATGTAGAAGTGTCCAAAGAGCTGGGAAGACTAGGAAAAAAGGTTGTTTTTTTTCCTTTGCAGTGTGAAATATGTTCTTTTACAATGATAAATAATCTGTTTGACATGGTATTCAAGCTATATAACTTCATGAGACATCTAAGATATTATGTAAAGTCTCAAATCATTGCACGTTCTTTCACCTGAAGAGAAAAAAATTCTGGAAATACAATTCAAATGCTGAAAATGCAATCGGCGTTGTGGGACATAGGAGCTGGAATCAGGCAAGTGAATAAAGGGTTATTTAACCCTGTACATTGCCTAGGGGGCAGTGGAACACAGCTCTGTATTCATAACATTAAAAGTGTTCATTTAAGGTCGCCAACATTTTTTTTATATCTTTATAACCTTTATCTAAATGATTCCTATTGATATTCATCCCATCACAGCGTAATGTTTACCTGTAGTCTGAGTCTGACAAGCAAATAGTTTTTTCATCTCCTCCTCTCAATAAAAAGGTGAGACCAACATCCATCGTTTGGATACATTTCCACAGTTCAGTTTCTGCTGAGAACAAAGCTGCGTTTTGCAAATATTGTGGCAAGATATTTTTCTTTCCGAATGCTTCAAGGATGACAAAACACATCCCTGCATGCCAGAAGTGTCTTAAAACATTAAAAAAATACTTTATGGAATTAAATAATGAGGGCAAGTAACTTCCCCCATTCCATTTAAAGGGCCCCTCCTATGTCAAACCTCACTCTGAAGCTTAAATATTGAGGTGGTCCTTACACCCCAAAAATTTCAGTCAAAGATCCTTTTTTTCCTTTAATAAAAAAATAAAAAGGGGTTGTGACAAACGCTCCTTACCCTGGACGATTGTCACGAACTCCTGGAGGAGCCTGCTAGCTAGCCTCCTGAAAACAGACATCTATAAGCTTTACTGGCGTGAATACACCGTATAAGATGCTGAAACGGGATTGCTGTTATTTAAACTAAACACATCTTTCCGTCATCCATTACATGTTTCTTTTCTGATTGTCTGTCCCTGCCTTAATATCATTTGATTTTATATCCAGGTGGTGCTCTCCAGAAGTTTGTTGAGGTGTTCGTTGGCTGCATGGCGGCGGTCCTCAGTGGTATGATATACGCCATCTACCTATCTTCGTATCATGAGCGAAAATTCTGGTTTTCAAGTCGGAGGGTAAGCCTAATATTTGTAATCCTATTTTTAGTTTATTAAAAGTAAACTCTCTTGAGAAAGAGATGCTTCATGACATAAGCTGATTTTTTTTTTTTTTTAATTCTTTATATTGTTGAAAGGGTTTTTTCTCTCTACAAATGACTTTTATAACTTGTGTTTACGTCCCTTTTGTTAAAAACTACTTCTCGATCTTGTTTCATGACAGTTTTTTTCATAGCTTTTTCAAGTCCTATGGTTATGTGTACTTAGAATACATCTTTTTAGAGAATGCTGTTTAGACCTAGGCTTTTATTGTTAATAGCTTGTAAGTCTGTTAAGATTTGATTTGATTATATGAGCAGTTGTTGAAGGGATACTGTACACACCTTAACAGTGTGTGCTATTTACATAGTTTATGGTGAAAATTCCCCCAAATTACTGCAGCTATACGACCACTGCTACACCCTGACCTCTCCACTTGTATGCATACCATGCAATTTCAGTGTTACTTGTTCAGACTCTCTTGTAACTTTTGCTAGCTTGCCAAATAGTTTAGTTCAGAGATAAGGGTACTTGTGATAGCTAATCTACATACCCAAAAAAGCCTTGCTCCATTTCAGCAGAATTTACTTTGAAAACTTACCACTTCCTTTATTCTAGATACCCTGTATATTTAGTTTTAATCATTGTATTTATTTATATTTTTTCCTTTTTTTTTTTCTGGATGTAGTATCTTCATAATATTTTATCCTAATGCATTGTCTCTTTAGACAATATAAATCTACAGTTTGCAAAGAAATGAGCAATAGTGATGTGCCGAACGGTTTGCCGCGGACTCATCATTGAGTAAACTTTGACCCTGTACCTCACAGTCAGCAGACACATTCCAGCCAATCAGCAGCAGACCCTCCCACCTCCTGGACAGCTCACTAAGAATGCAGCTTCACAATGAATGTATGGATGCTGTCCAGGAGGTGGGAGGGTCTGGGAGGGAGGGTCTGCTGCTGATTGGCTGGAATGTGTCTGCTGACTGTGAGGTACAGGGTCAAAGTTTAGTCAATGATGAGTCCGCGGCGAACCGTTCGGCGAACAGTTCGGGACATAACTAATGAGCAATAGAAATGTTTTGGGTGTTTTCACACTTCCTTTTAAAACTGACATTTTCAGTATTTGAGGTTGCACTGTGTGCTTACTGCTGTCATAGCAGAGCTTTTAGTTTGGCATGGCACGGTGGTTTAAGTGGTGTCACAGATGGGTTATGTTATCGGTAAATGGGTCATTGTGTCCTTGGCTGCATAGAGCAATAAGGTGGGCAGAGGATAAATGGTTAATCTGTCTTCGTAAACCGAACCTTGAAGGTCTAATCAGAGAAGTAAAAGAACTGTGTGTTTACATTTAAAGTAGTGTTCTAATCTGTGCACTTTTAATGATCGCCGTGATGGAGTGAAGGTTCTTTGGGTGCTGCAGCATTCTTTTTATGTCAAAATTCTCTGGAGCAGTTTAACAAAAAACAGGAATCTCCTGGCACCAAAGCTTGGCCCCTCTGTTATTACCTGGATAATACAATATGTGTTCAATGCCGGCCAGCCTTGGCTGTCACTGATAGGCTGGGAGCACTGGACTAAGAATGCTTTGTATGGAACACGCAGACGTGAAACATTCACATATAAATCAATTTTATCTGGACAGTATGTTGTATTTTTATTTTCTGTCTCTCAAGGGTGCAAGAACCATTATTGCAAAGCTGATGGTGCGTATAGCACCATGCATTCAGCCAGCCCCTCGGGGCTATCAGTCAGGCAGACGTCATTCAAAGTTCCATTTAATTATCCAAAGAGAGTGACTGCACTCCATTAACCAGGGTTGCCTTCATCCAGAGATATAAAGACCTGCGGTGCTCCAGATCGTGGAGATGGCCCCAGCTCTCAATGTACCCTTAATATGCAGGAAAAGATGTCTAGGCATTCAGCGCTTCAAACTACAACACCCTTTACTGGAACATTACACATCGGCAACGTTTCAGTCACCTGCTGTAAACTTTCTCAAGGTCTGGTTCACAGTAGGTAACTGAAACGTTGGCAGTGTGTAATCTTCCATTAAAGATTGTTGTAATTTGAAATGCGGAATGCCTAGACATTCTTCTGCATATTAGGCACTCAAAGTTCCAAGCTGCCTATATCAATTAATATAGTCTGGTCTATTCAGAACCTAGGTGTGTGTGTCAGCTATGTATGACTGCTGTCTTTACAGGACAGTTCCACTCCTCCTGGGGAATAAACTACTAAACAAAACTTTGGGTTTATGGGATAAGACCAGATGAGAGGAGCCTAATTGGTGGAGCCTTTTACTGTTGAGGGAGTGATGTGCTGAAGGAGGGAGCTCTGCAAGTAATGGATGGGGTTAATGGAATTAAAGTCTCTTCCTATCAATCCTAGACTTTAAGCCAGTTTGAGCAGGGTCCTCTTTAACCTATCATTCCTGTACGTTTTCTTGTAATTGTCCTATTTATAGTTAAATCCCCACTCTTATAATATTGTAAAGCTCTACGGAATCTGTTGGCGCTATATAAATGGTAATAATAATGCATGCTAGTTAAGAATGATTAGATCAATGGTCCAAAGTGATTATTGTCTGACCCTTTGCACACATTCCCTGACTAAAAAGCAGAGGAAATATGTATCGCACTGCATGCTTTGTTTTCTTTTTCAGGATCTGGAACGAGAAATCACCTTTCAGGGGGAGGGTGCTGTTTATTATTCTTTTTATAAAGACATGCTGCGGGCACCATCCTTCGAAAGAGGTACGTAAATCTCCTTGACCTTTCTATTCACCAACATTCTGTTAATGACAGGAAGGTTTGTAGGAGAGGAAGGGACACTCATCAGGAGGGTTTTATGTACATTACCAAAATACTTTATGAATGTGGGACTCCATTTTCTAATAGAATCGTCACCACACACTAGGAGAGACCCGAAGCTCAACATACAGGGGAAGCCTGGGTTAGACTGTCAAGATAACAGAAGTGCAACCATGAACCACCGCTAAACACTTCCCTTATCCTAAAGAGCACACATGTATCTTGTTCCTCAGCATTGATTGATATTTGTGAATACCTACTTCCTTATTCATATCACTGTATTTTCGTTGTGTTTGAAAACTCAAAATAAATAAATAAATAAATCATCACTTTTTATAAACGGTCATGTTATTATGAGATTCTCCTCACCCATAAAGCACTTCAGCAAGGTCCTTTAATGGTGTAATTTCAATAGATGTGACGGCTACCCTTTTAAATACTAAACATTAGACCTCCGGTGGAAAATAAACTGTGTGACCGTACAAATGTAGAACAGTCAGATTTTTAACATTTGAACATTAGGTCAGAAGATCCGCATATATCATGTCCAAGTAGCACAGATCTAGTACTTTGGTATTAACCATAATAGTTAAAGGATGAAGGTACCGCATCTTTCTTTCAGGTGTGTTTGAGCTGGCCTACAACAATCGAACTGTTCCACTGAAGACCATAAATGCTGTACAGCAAATGACTCTGTACCCAGAGCTGATCGCCAGTGCCCTGTATCAGATGTCTGGCAGCCAGGTAAAAGTCCCTTTAAAACACTTTCAACAGAAGATCTCATCTCTTAAATATTTAACATTTCCAGGATTCCTTCAGTGTTCGATTATCTTTTTTCCAATGATTATAGAAGTTTCTAGTTGATCTGGTTTAGCAGGACTTGCAACTCATAGTACCTGCAAAGAACGCCCACTCTCCCGCTCCCCCCCCCACCCTCAACCCACCAAAAGTAATATAGAACTGGTCAAATACAATAAAGGTCCTAATTATGTAGTGTTCTGAGCTCATGTACAGAAATTTTTTTTAATGTATTTTTTTCTTTTAATTCCTCCCTAGGGTGTTGTTGATCCAGTGTATTTCTATATTGGGATCCTGTTTGGCTTGCAAGGAATATATGTGAGTGCGTTGTTTGTGACAAGCTGGATAATGAGCAGGAGTTGGCTTGCAGGCATGCTGACCGTGGGATGGTTTATCATTAACAGGTATGAAGAGCAATTAACTTCCAAACTTTGCTGAAACATTGCTGTGATCGTTATCTCTGGACTACAGCTATCCTAATGCATAACCTGTGCGTTGTGGTCACATAGTGAGAATTCTATAGAGGTTGAAAAAGGAGCAACAGTGACAGGAATAAGGAACGTTGGGGCCAGTCATTCAGTTATTAACATATGCACATTAACTACGGGCAATTTTACAAATAATTTTAAAACTGGACAGTCCTGGCAAATAATGTGCCACAATAGGGTTAGTAAGTAGTAATCAGTCTGTGGTAAATGGCAGAGCCATCAGCAAAGCCCCCTAACTGCAATCACATGTTAAACAGTCCATTAATGGTATTGTATGATACCAGCTGAAGGGAGAATGTGTTTTGTTTTTTGACAAATTGGCAGGTCCTACTCTAGCAGCCTAATGCCTGCTCTTATGAGATTAATCTACTTACTTAAGAAATTCTTCCTACTGGGACTCTCTGCTGGTCAAGGCTAAATAGGGTCCTGGAATGAGGCACTTGTGACCGGGAGGAGTGCAAAACCAAAGAGCTTGGCCTGGACTCCCAAACATATAAATAAAACCAAGAGGGCTGCACTCACCTGAACATGCATGCATTATAGGGTGCTGCTGGGGCCAATTTATACAACATTTAAAATCCAGTGCACTCTATATTAATGTATGCCGAGAGAAAATCTGACTTAAAGTAACTAATTGATATTTTTGTAATGTTCCCTCTCCCCCTTGTTCCAGGACAGATACCACCCGTATGGAGCACTCCATTCCCCTTCGTGAAAACTGGGCACTGCCATATTTCGCTTGTCAAGTTGCTGCTCTCACAGGCTATTTAAAGAACAACATTAACTTTTCCGTGGAGGTAAAAGTAAAATGTGTGTGTTTTGGGAGGGGGTAACTTTAAAGCATTGGTAGCCAAAGGTAAAACTACAAATTCCACGATGCTTCATCAGCCTTAAGATTTAGGAGGTTGAGTTGTGTAATCTCTGAGCATTTCACTTTGGCCACCCATACTTTAAAATGTTGCTTTTAAAAAAAATACAAATTATTTTTCTTTTAAGGAGCACACCAATCACCTCCATTAATACCTGCAGACATCATTCTATGTTGTTGTTTTTTGTTTATTATTCTTTTTGCTTGATGTCAGATTCATAATATTGCAAAACTTAATTAAAACGGTCACGTACAATTGCACATTTTTGTTTGTAATGTGAGACGAGTTCCTTGCACTTTGAAATCTTCGCTGCTGATAGAAACAGTCATGACTACTTAATGTTTTACTAATTGGCCACAAGGGACCACATTTTAGATGCCTTAATTTTTTTTTTAATCCCATCCCCCTGCTTTGCACTGCAACATTTAGAATGAGATTTCTCAAGACAAAAACAGGTGGAAGTCACTATGGATACGAATAGAATGTCCATGGAAAGCTAGAATAGTACAGGTTTTTCTTAAATAAAGCTCACCTTCACTTGTTTTATGTTTTCTTTTGTCTGTAAATGTGCTATGTTATATCTTTCCAGAGGCTCTGCTATTTGCTGATGAGCGCGTCTACATATACTTTCATTATGATGTGGGAATATAGCCATTACCTGCTCTTCATACAGGCTTTGACCCTTAACCTTCTAGATGGCTTCTCTCTGATCCAGAAAGAAAAGGTATGACATGTTAACTCTGGATTATAGTGGACAGAACATCTGTGTTTAAAATGTTTACTAATAGACCTTATCTAATTGTTCAGGTCCATGAAATAAACAAAATGTATGTGTTCGCTGTGTTTTTGGGATACCTGCTTCAGTTTGAGAATACTGACCTATTGACCTCTCCATTGCTGAGCCTTGTAGTGGGTTCAATGGCAGCCAAGAGCTTACAGGTGACAGATTATATCTACACATCCGCTTTATTGGCAGCTTTTGGTTGTGACTTCAGCTGTGTTACGATTTCTCTTTTTTTAAGCAGATCACTGTAAAAAAGGGCACGTTCCGGGAAAAAGTGATGAAAGTAATGTATTTTTACTTGGCGGTTACCCTTGCTGTATCACTGCATTTTTTAATAAGGGTGAGTAAATCTAAAAAAGTGTATCTTGTGAAATGCTATTTAGTAATTAAATATGTCCGCTTTGCACAAGGGAGTGTGCTGCAAATAGATCTATTGCATTGCTTATTTCTCTCTATATAAGAGACGGTATCGGTGGAAAAACTGTCTCTACATAAAATGCTGTCTTGCTTGAACATCTGCTGATTGCTGTCTGGGGTAATTACTGGCCCTCAAAGCCAGAATGATCAGAAGTGGAAATTTCTTGGGAGGTGAAAAGGAATTCCAGTGTTTCATATGAAAAAAAACAAAAAACCCTACATTGCTATTAAATCACATTATTCCTTTCCCCCCCATAGACTGTAGTTCCTCACAAAGAAAACCATCAGCTACTGAAATTCCTAGAAGTAAAATTTGGACTGAACATGACCAAGTGAGTTACTAATTATTAATACTTCTAGTCATTTTCAAACCCGAGCCCTGGAGACCTCTATCTGACCTGGTTCTCAATGTTCTATGTAACATGTAGCGCATGGGTGTAAAATTATGGGACTACGGGTTAGCAAACGAGACTTGTGTTGATTTCCCTGCGTGTGTGCATGTGTATTGTAGTGCTCATTTCATTATATAATGCTTATATAATTTCTGATTTCATATTCATAAACTGTAGTCTGTTTGCTACATATATAACGTGGTGATTGTAACCCCTGATTTAGAGATGCATTTTGCATAGTTTGTATAAAGTCGCCTGGGAATTTTTATCCTCGAGAATTACAAACCTGGGTAGATCCATTTTCCTAATCCTTGTATTGGTATCTCTAAAATTGTAGGAACTTCACAGTGAATTGGCTTCTCTGTCAAGGATCCTTCCAGCCTGCATCTCAGGACTATATCTTGCGCCTTACACAGTCCTCGCTGCTGCCTTTCTATGTCCTGGTGTTAATAGTCTGTGTCTTGTCAATATCGCAATGTGCTCTAAGAAAGTTTAGGTAAGTGCTCTGCTCAGAAAACTGGCTTGCCGTGATTCCAGGAAGCAAAAAAATACTATTAAATTTCTTAGTAAAGCTAAGGAAAGAATTCTCCCCACCTTACCGTTCTCATTCTCAATCACTTGTAGATCATGCCTTTCCTACCCTTCAGACTTTCTCCCCGGCTACTGAACAAGAGGTGGCTGTGCTTCTCCTTTACACTCGCCCCACCACTTGCCCGATCGAACCTGTCCAATCTCACCTTATCAGATCTCTCTCCCCTTGTCTTGTGCCTTCCTTAACACACATTTTCAACTGCTCTCTCTCTTCTGGCGCTGTCCCTGCTGACCTTAAACATGCCACTGTAGTACCTATCCTGAAAAAAAATCTATTGACCCGTCCTCCCCTCTAACTATCGTCCCATATACCTGCTCCCTTTTTTACTCAAAGCTTCTGGAAAGACATGTCTTTACCCGTATGTCTCACTTCCTCAATGCTAACTCTCTCCCTGACCCTCTTCAATCTGGCTTCTGCCCTCTCCACTCTACTGAGACTGCTCTTATCAAAGTTAGTAATGACCTAATCGCAACTAGATCCAAAGGCCACTACTCCGTACTAATTCTTCTTGACATCTCTGCTGCCTTTGACACCGTTGATCATGCTCTTCTACTTCTTCAAACTCTTCAAATCACTCAGTCTCTGTGACTCTGTCCTCTCGTCGTTTTCCTCTTATATCTCCCAGTGCTCATTCAGCATCTCCTTTTCTAATGACACCTCCTCCCCTCGTCCTGTCTCGGTTGGAGTTCCCCTAAGACTCTGTCCTTGGTCCCCTTCTATTTTCTCTTTATATTGCCTCTCTTGACAAGCTTATTGCCTCATTTGGATTCCTTTACCACCTGTACGCTGATAACACCCAGATATATGTCTCCTCCCCGGACCTCTCCCCTGCCGTCATGCAACGTGCCACTGCTTGCCTTTCTTCCATCTCTGACTGGAATTTCTCCCGCTTTCTGAAACTCAATCTCTCTCAAACTGAGCTCCTTTTCTTTCTTCTTCCTAATACTGATCCTCCTCTTTCGCTCTCCCTTCAAGTTAGTGGTATCCACATAAGTCCATCCTTGCAAGTGCGCTGTCTTGGCGTCATATTTGATTCTGGCCTCACATCCAGTATGTTGCCAAATCCTGTAGATTCCATTTTAAAAACCTAGCCCGCATCCGCCCCCTTTCTTACGTAAGATGCTACCAAGGAGCTTGTCCATGCTCTAGTAATTTCCCACATGGATTATTGTAACCCTCTCCGAATTGGTCTTCCCAAAAGCTGTATTGCCCCGCCACAGTCTGTAATGAATGCTGCCGCCAGACTGATTTTCCTACTAATAATAATGTTTGTTTGTGTGTAGCTGTATTAAAATGGGAAAGCATTGGATTAGCTGAGATCGTCAATTCTGCCAAACGTGGCCCTGGCCAAACAGCATCTTTTAGGGATGCATTGAATCAATGCATCTCTATTGGGAGAGTTCAGTGTGTCCATGCAGTGGCCATCTGAAAAGGCAGTGTTTACATCAAAAAGCCTGCAGGAACTGAGTATATTCACCAGAACAAATACATTACGCTGCAGTTGTTCTTGTGACTATAGTGTACCTATAAACAAAAACAGAATAAATAAAAAAGCACAAAAACTCAAAACAATCACCAGCTGCTATGCCACCCTGCTTTTAAGTGGAATGTATTTTCAATCTGAATTGCTGGATTGTCTATTATTTATAGAGTGAAAATGAGAAACATTGCTGCGTGAATCTTTCACCCTGGGAATCCAAAAAGTTAAAATGTCTTTCTTTCCTTATCTTCTACTCATCTCCTTGCAGTGGGGTCCCAGTAAGCACTAACCTGAAGCTGGCGGATGGTCGGATTGGAGAGAGGCCTGAAGTTATCTACCATGTGGTCCAGACACTCCTGCTTGGCTCACTTGCCATGCACTTTGAAGGGTAACTTGATCCTACCCTATTGTACTAGCCTTTATTAATGGAAATGAGGAAAACATATTATACTTTTTCGCCAAATTAAAATTATTTTTATACTGGTATTTTTTTTTTTTTTTTTTTTTAGTGGTTAGGGAGGTAAATATTGTAATAAAACAAAGGATTGATTGAATCCTAGATCAATAAAGCTCCAACTTGAGAAATGCAAAAAAAATGATCTTAATTAGCCTTACTATACAAAAGAAACTAAGCAGCAGAAACCTAAAGCAAGGATTCCCACACCTTATAATAGTAAACAATAAACCAAAACCAAAATAAAGGTGACCGCGCCATATATAAATGGTTAATTGAGTAATGTGGGTTAGGTAGTACAACCCCTAAGTGCAATATACAAAATATTAAAGTTCATACATATGTATGCAGGGGTTCTTTTGTCTGCCACGGGAGTCTCCAGAGGAGAAAAACAGATAATAGTGCAATATTGCCAATCAAAATAAAAATATATAAAGTGCATTGGAGAACTAACTCACGCATTAAGGAGCTACCAAGAGCTCTATCAGGATTGTACTGTCCACGCTGTGACAGCTGAGCTCTTGGTAGCTCCTTAAAGCGTGAGTTAGTTCTCCTATACACCTTGTGTATTTCTTTTGATTGGCAATCTCCTGTGGCTGGCTAAAAGAACCCCTGCATACATGTGTATGTACATTTTAATATTTTGTATATTGCACTTGGGGTTGTGATACCTAATCCACATTAATCCCTTCACTATTTATATACGGCGCAGTAACCTTTATATCCAACTTGATATGTATCTTCAATTGACTTTGTTGTTTCCCCTAGCTTTTTGGGGGAATTTATAATATGTCCACTCGTTGGTTACTTCCCATGCAAAACAAATTCTGATTGTAAAAATAGGTTAATTGGAAATAAGCTAATTGATGGTTACACCTGAAAAAGCTTAATAACTTTCATACAATCCAAATTAAATAGACTTGTACAGCAGTTGTCAGATGACATTAACCCTTTTGTCTGGCATGTAGAAATTATAACCGGGACAATTGTGAAATGATGGGTTATTACGAGGCCTGGTAAATGTGCTTAATGATGACATTTTTCAATATACTTTCTGTATAGCAATAGAATGCTGGTAACTATAAGCTTATGTGCCAGATTGTCAGATCCTGGTCACTGTTGGCAGATTGTCACCTGCCGACCACAGTAGGGAGATGGAATATATGTAAGGCAATATCACAATATTGGCCCAAAATTTTATTATCACTTATATCTGTTATTTGTATTCTGATTGGGAACACCTGTGTTTATACACACCCTACTTTACTTCTGGAAGCGCCCCAAAACAGCTCTTAAACTTTTTGAGTTTTTCCTTTGCAAATATCACAATATGTCACCTTTTTCCAGACCTAGAGGGCAATTTTAGTCATAAAAATGTATGCAACTAAATTGTACTTTAGAAGTCAAGAATAGAGAGAAGAATCAAAAGGGTGAACCCTTCTGAAATACGAGTAACCCAGATTAAACGTAACTTTTAATTAATATAGTGTAATAAAAAATAAGAATAAGCCGAGTAAATATAACTTCTGCTTAGATAGGAGTAAATAAAACTCCTAAATCACATAAGGAATAAATAAATAAAGTAATAAAGAAATATAACATAAAGAAATAACAGAAATAAATAATAAGAATTGACTAATATCACTCTGTGAGTCAGTGGTAATTAGAAGTAAGAGGAAATACTGCAAAAAGTAGATACAGAATAACAGCAAATGTAACTGCTAGCAAAAGTAACACATGTTGCTAGTCTAGTGAATAGAGAGGAGGGAAACATAAAGGCGGTTTGAATACTAGCAGAACGGCAAGCCCTGCAAAAAATGGTATATATAGGCAGGAGAGAAAGCTGAAAGTGGAGAGACTAGCTTCCCTACTGTGCTGTGCCTTCGAGGGCACCCCTTAAAAAAACACTAATAACCACCTCCCCTCCTCTAAGTAGAGTAAATGCAGTATGTTTAGAAGTCCCAGAACTCAAACTGGAATAAAGAATAAAAGAAGAAAGTGCAAATGAAATAAATAAATATAAAATAAAATAATAAATCTTGTATGGGTGGTATAGTCTGAAAATATTAAAGCATGTCTTCCCTCAACATAGAAGCCACACCATACAAATAACGTCCCGACTTTAGAAGTCTGTGTAAATAAGATACATTGCTCTTCTTCTAAACACACTTATTGCTGTTTCAAGACGCATTACTGTGAGTCTTGTAGCTAATTATAGTTCTGGTGCTCTGTTATACCCTGACATATCAACAATATAGAGTTCATAGAAAAGAAGGACTTTAAGGGGTGCTATAGGCACCAAAACAACTTAATGAAGGAGTTTTGGTGTACAGATCATGCCCCTACAGTCTCATTGCTCAATTTTTTGCCATTTAAGAGTTAAATCACTTTGTATATGCAGCCTTTGTCACACCTCTATGCTTGTAACATGCACAGCCTTTATAAACACTTCATGTAAAAAGAGATCTAATGTTTAAACTTCCTTTAAACATCACAATCTGTTTAATTTAGACTTTATTTCCTGCTTTCTTAATAGCTTTCTAGATCCTGCGGGAGCCTCCTGTGTGTGATTCAAGTTCACGTTGTAAACCTAATTGAAAATACATATATTTTATTTTTGTTTATTCCAGTTGTGTGAGAGTCACAACCAGGGAAGATGTGGCTAGAGCTGCATAAACCGAAACAAAAGTGATTTAAATCCTAAATGGCAGAAGATTGATCAGTGAGACAGCAGGAGCATGATCTATATACCAAAACTGCTTCATTAAGCTAAAGTTGTTTTGACGCCTATAGTTTCCCTCTTATTATAGAAAAGAAAAACAGAGGATTTGGGGCCAAAATTAGGGTCCATCACTCCAAAATAGAGACACTTGACAAGTATGCTCCTGTAAGGGGCTCAGCTACAGGTTGCATTAATGCTATGCATCTCATAGTGTGTGTGTGTGTGTGTGTGTGTATGCTTCTCGGTGTTTGTGTCTTGCATCTTGTGTTTTGTGTGTCTGAGTATGTATATTTTGAAAATTCAAGGTGACTTAAAAGTGAATCATATTTAAGGTCAAAATAGCCTGGACAGAACAATTCTTTAAGTCAGCTCAGCTTTCAATTTGGCTACTCTGGCCTGAAATTTGAAATTGAAATTTGTAAATAACCCTGTTTATGTGTTTTGAGAGCCTAATTGGAGGCTAATAATGAGATCCGAACCAGCATGACATTTTAACATGCTGCAACAAATAGCCAAATTGCTGATTTTATGTTGACTTTACACTAATAATATTGGTTGGTGTCATTCAGCTTTCCGGAAATCTAACAAAAAGCATTACAGGAAGTATTTAAAGGGATACTCAAACCAAAAATCTGTTTTAAGAAAACATTCATTTTGATCAGAATAACCCTTCCTATATTGGAGTTGGAAGTAGAGTTAAACCACTAGCTGCAGATGGGTTAAACTATGTGTGTGCAGGGCTTATTATAAAATACAGTCAGTAAAATGGTCATGGTGTTTGAAATAAACCTGTAAAATAAAAAAAAAATAAAAAAATTAAAAAAAAATAAACTTCTGTTCCACAAATTGTGCAGTGTCTAAGATGGAAAAGAATTGAATGTAACTATTTTGTTTTAACACGTGTTGTGGCATTTATTGGTTGCTAGCATGAAGTACCTGTGGACTCCCTACGTGTGCATGTTTGCTGCATTTGGAGTATGTTCGGCTGAAGTTTGGACAACTGTTTTCAATTGGATCAGACTAAAAGCTGTACACCCAGTTCTCCTGGTAAGAATATATATATTTTTTTTATAGTGGAGGTTATTATTATTATTAGTAGTAGTTTACTTTAAAACTATTGTTTGTATGCAAAAAAATATATAATGCTATTGATCTAATGGCTAATGGGGTTAATAATAATAATAATAATAATAATAAGAGTTTGAGTAAGTTTCTTAAACCTTATGTTGATCAGTTTGAAATTTCTTCAGCTGTTTCTTATATTAATAAACTTTGCTTCTTTTGAGCACATGTGTGTAGTGCCTAGTGCAGGCATAGGCAACCTTCGGCACTCTGGATGTTTTGGACTACACCTCCCATGATGCTTTGCCAGCATTATGGGTGTAAGAGCATTATGGGGGATGTAGTCCACAACATCTGGAGTGCCGAAGGTTGCCTATCCCTGGCCTAGTGGAATGCTGAGAGCACGCCCAGAAATTACAGACTCTAAATGGCTGCACACATCACATGTCCTCTTTATTTTTCCATCTGTAAATCTAGTGAGGGATTGAAAAGAAATTAATGCATTTCCAAGCTGGGCACCACTGTATTGAAAACAGGCAGAGCTCCAAGTGATAACTAATTGCAGCTACATTCTATTGCTTGGTTAGATCAGTGCTTCTCAGTGCTAGTGCTCTGAAGCCGGTGTGCCAAAAAGGTAGATCCCCAGATGTTTTAAAACTACAGCTTCCATGATGCTTTGTAATTTTAAATCATTTTAAAGCATTATGGGATTTGTAGTTCTATAACATCAGGGGCACCCCTGCTCTAAAGGTCCCATCAATGCAAATATATCTCGGCCTCATTGATATCAGGGTGACTTTTCTGTAATATAGTCTTACCTGACACGTATATGTATATTTTCTTCTGTTCCTGGTCAGTCTTGTTTTTTTTTTTTCTATTGAAAATATTTGAAGGTTAAAGAACGTGGAAAAATAAATAAATCTTAATTTGTATTGTTTTGTTTGATTTATTTAAAGTGACTCTGTAGGCCTGTTAACAATTCCATCTCACCCATCTCATTTTGAGAAACTGCAATATTTACATTGCAGGCTTAAAGGGACACTATAGCTTAATGAAGACGTTTTGGTGTATAGATCATGCCCCAGCAGTATCACTGCTCAATCAAGTGCCATTTTTTAGTTAAATCACTTTGCTTATGCAGTCCTAGTTATACCCACTTGCATGTAATATGCACAGCCTTCCTAAACACTCCCCGTAAAGTATGATCTAATGTTTTTACATCTTTTATTGCACAGAATTGTAATTTGTGATTTATCTCCTGCACTGTTAGTAGCTTGCTAGACCTAGCAAGAGCCCCCTGTGTGTGATTAAAGTTCAGTTTACAGCGCAAGAGATAAAAACATCTAAAGTAAGATAACATCCATTGAAAAATAGCCTTTCTTATCCCCATACCTGCTGTGTGAGTCACAGCCAGGGGAGGTGTGGCTAGGGCTGCATAATCAGAAACAAAGTGATTCAGCCCCTAAATGGCAAAAATATATTTATTTTCCAGATTTTGTTTTATCCATACACAATTGTTAATCAAATTGGAGGTGGTGGCGGGGGGAGGAGGAGTGATGGTTCACTTTGCTACACAACTCTGCTTCATCATTTTCACTGATTAAACAGAGCCTGATCTACTTCTTGTATAGAGTTTTGAGTTTCATTTAAAAGCTATATTAATGCATCTTTGTGTTTTTTATTTGTAGGCTCTCATTTTAAGCACTGCAGTTCCCTTGGTGATTGGTTTCAGCTTATGGAGAGAGGTGAGATGATGATACTCAACTCTTCCAAGTGACTTTTTGACATAAATTGTCAGTCCATGTCATTTTTTTTTTTTACAATTATTATTTTTTTACCTATGTAAACATAGATGACGGCAATATTTACTTTGTAGTCCGTTCGAGGCCTTTCGTAGTTAGCAAGAGTTTATTTCTACCAACACAGTCCTGCTGATGGTTATATATGCCATCACTCAAAACTCTATTCTCTATCCAGGGGTCCTAATAAATGGGGCATATGGCCAACAAAGCCACATTTCAAAGCCATGTCTTATCTTTGCACATTATGTGTTTAGTGGTGTTTATTTTATTTCCCTGTCACCTAGGGAGGAGAAGAAATAGTTCATCTCTGGCCCATTCCAACTGGCCATGCTACACAGGTTGGAAGATGTAAACAACCTATTGTAGCCTGATACATACAGATATGCTATTTTAGCGAAGTAATTCAGAAGTAAGCGACGATCGGTGAAGCACACCTACTGGCAGAGTTCATATTTATACAATAAATCCATTTTCTATACTATGTTTACAAACTGCCTTTATTTTCGCAGTTTATACCCAGGATAGTTGATGAGCTGTCGGAGATGGACGAGCACTATGATTCAGACACTGTCGAGCTTATGAACTGGATAAAGTAAGTGTGATGCATGTGGACTGCTGGTGCACAAGGCAAATATATAATGTAATCCCATGCATGGAGAGATTACAATGCTCCCATGATTGACTGGAGCAGGTACTGACCTGTCTGTGTGGGGATGGAAGCACTAACATGCCAGTTGGGTATTGCATGTAGACTGGAGGAGACTAACACAAACAGTCTGATACAGTAAAAATGTGATCGGGTAGGAATGCAAGCACTCACATAAATGGTCCATAGAGAGAAAGTGCAATGGGAATTTATAGTAACGTTTTCATGTAAAGGAAAATCAAATAGTAATATTACATTTTTTTTTTTAAACAATTACGTTAGACTGAGAACTGCTTCAGATGTAAAAATGCAAATTTATTGAAAATGTGCAGAGAACAAAGAATTAATCATAAGTTGTACCCTTTTATTTGTAGAGTCTGTGCAGTGATTTTTTTTTTTTAAGCTTAGCACAGTCCATTAATAAATAGAGCTGGCCCAAAGTGTATGTGCGCAAGAATGTAATAACTAACCAATTTAGAGGCTGGATGCATAGTTGAACAAATTGAACAGGCCGTGAGAATCTGGAATAATGTTAAAATCAGAAGGATTGTGTGGTGGGGTTAATGATTGTACTATTGATCTCAAGGTAGAAGCAGTTTGAAGGAAGAAAGAGCAGTTTTGTATTTGGAAGACATAACTTTAGGGAAAGGGCAGTCATCCAGCAAGGGACTGAAAAAGGAGAAACAAGTGAAATGATCCAGGAAGGGGAGACGTGTACCTTCATGTTATCGGCATACAGGTGGTACTGGAATCTAGAGGAACTAATAAAGTTGCCAGTAAGAGAGGCAATTAAAGAGAAACTAGAAGGGGATTCACTGAACCATTGTTTGCTCCAAATAAAACCCGTACAAGAGAGGGGGTTTTGCTGGAACCTGAGACACTGTGAAGTAGCAAAGTGAGAAGCATGAAAACAGTGTCAAAGCAGCAAGGGTTAAGAACAGTGTGCCGAAAAAGTGTTTAGTCTACAGATTCGAAGATGTCACAGAGATTGAGATGGACATGGCCCAGTCATCTGAAGACCACTTTTTAGACAAATGTACTATCACCCCCTTATTTTTTTTCCTCTTCTTCTTTACTTCACTCCTCCTCTTTCGCTTCTCTATCTTTCTGTAACTGTCTCTTCTTGGAGGCGGGCGACCCTGCGCAGCTGTGAACTCTGTGTATAGCCCCACTGAGCAATTTTGTATTCTTGGATCTGATAGTGAACCATGGAGCCTGTCGTCCATGGCCCCTAGTTATTACTCTCTACTTTGTACTAGGGCTTTGTTTATGTACCTTTTTGTATAACATTGTATCAAACTCTTCTAAATAAAGATTTGCACACAAAAAAACGGAAAGCGACACAGGTATTTGAATTTAAATTCTGTGCATCTTCTTGTTCCTTCCGTACTGGAATCAGACACTTGAGGGCGCCAGACACCAGTGGGATATATAGAGGGTAATATAATTACCAATCTTGCAGATCTTATACAGGGTAATGATGTATGATGCAGGACATTAGTACCCTATATAAGCGCTGCAAGATTGGTAATCGGATTACCCTCTAAATATACCACTGGTGTCTGGCGCCCTCAAGTGTCCTCTTCTTTTTTTTTTTTTTCTTTTTTTTTTTTTAAGGAGGTTCCTATTTTGACACTGATTTTTGCTCTTTATGTAAAAGTCGTGTGGGAGAGGGCGTTGGAGTGGCAGCATTCACCAGATTCTTCACACTCGTCCTTAATGGTGTAAAAAAAAAAAGTGGTATTGATTTAGCCAAAAGACTGACCCGGCAATGTTTGACAAACACATCAGCGAGCTGGAAACATTGCTAGGTCACTAATAACTCAATTCAAATTACACTTCACATAATATAAATATATATATTTTCTTATGCTTGAATTGACTTCTTTAACATTTCTGCCCCCCTATATAAGCTGCATTTAATTGTACATATTTACCACAGATTACTTGGTTAAATTTTGTAATTTCATACCAGCATTGCCTAAATATGGAAACCTGTCTACACATGGTTTGTAAACGCTGCTTTACCTTACAGAGACCAAGCTCCCCTCTCAGCGGTTTTTGCTGCTAGCCCACAGCTAATGGGTGCAATCAAACTGTGCACTGGTTGGATGGTGACCAGTCTGCCAGTTTATAACGATGAAGACCTCTTGCAGAGAAATGAAAATGTAAGTTAATGAATTTCCATGTTGCATCATTGTATACATATTGATCTGTACTAAATTCGTGCTGACTTCATCACATAATCAATAGACCTGGTGCAACATGTGCCAGAGGGGTAAGCAATTCTAATTAAAACGGCTTGATCTTAAATTAATGTCAAAGCTTGGTGGCAACAATAACCTCCTTTCAATGGATTTTTAAATGTCTGAAACTGAAAATTTAGTTCACAACTTTGTAAAATCTTGAAGTGCTTTTATGGCAACTTCAACTTTTAGTCTTTGTCTCAGAGTCTTTCTCTAAATTAAGCATAAAACATTAATATTAAGTAGAGCATGAGGACAGGCAGCAGTCATTGGCCGCGTTCACTAAGGGAGATGAGCGCTGTAAGACATCTTTCCCTGATTGCTGACAGATCTGTCTGCGTGAGCTGGCACAGCTTGCAAGGCTGACTAGAGTCTGTCTCAGACTGTCACAGTCCTTACACTCCCCGTGCAAGTGACTGGGAATAACTGCAGACACCCTGTGATGTGTCAACAAGAGGTGAAGCTATTAATGAAAAATAACCGTATTGGTGTCCAACATCATGGCAGAAAGGAGAATATATGTATAAGCAAGGGAACATAAAATAGAAAACTGTCCTATTCTGTAAAGCATTCATTGAGGAGGAACCATTGTGAGGAGAATATCAGTGAATAAAATTAAAGGGACCATAGTCACCCAAACCACTTGCGTCATCTCTATCAAATGGTCTGGGTGCAGTTTCCCTGTCCCCTTAACCTTGCAATGTAAAACATTGCAGTTTTTGAGATGTTCACATTTCAGGGTTAAATGGACACTATAAGCTCATTGAAGTGCTCTGAGTGAGCTGTCCCAGGCCCCTCAACCCTGCAGTAAACTGCAATTATTACCTTTGCAGGGTTAACTCCACCTCTAATGGCTGTCCCTGTACGTGAGGAAGGTGAAACTATAGTGTCAGGAAAACAAGCTTCTAGTGGTTCTCCACTGACTGAGTAAAACCTGGTCACGTGACGTGGAAGCCATGTATGAAAGTATTAATTCAATGCTTTCCAATGGGAAACTTTAAATACATGCACTGCTTTAGGTCTCCAATGCTCTTCTATGAGGAGCATTGGATTGAACCACCGTCAGAGGAGGACATTGCTGGCAGAGCGCTAAGCAGCTCCGAAGGAGCCTTGGCATTGGAAAAAGATGCGGGAAAAAAAAGTAGTTTTTAATCCTTCCTCTGCCGAACGGGAGAGGTGAGGGGAGACCTAATACCACTAGGGACACTATATATAGCTTTATGAATACAGATTTGTATTTCTAACGCTAGAGTTTTCCTTTAACTGTGGCTACACTGATGGTCGGAAATAAAGTTAAACCAGGAAGATTAGTAGCTGCATAATTTTAGACGAGATTATCAGGTCTGAACTTTTAAGCCCTACCCATTCTGCTTTCTCTTTTGATGAGTGTTTCCTTACCCATTCTCAGTGTTCACATTACAGGAAAAGTTTTGCACTGACAAATAACTTTTATAATTTTTCTAACTGAATAGTATTGACCGCTGAATATAAAAACCCGAAAGAAGGTGTATATTTTATTGAGAACATCTGATCAATAGATTACAAGAAGATTCTGAAACCCATTACAGCAACATTGCAAGCACCATAACCACTACAGATTGTAGTAATGGTTACGGAGCCAGGCCTCTCATTGTAACGAGGTTGGTTCGGCTGGCTGACACTCCCTGCCTCCACGATTGGTTCTCCCAAACTTGTCCTTGCAATGTGTTTGTGGATCACATTGGTAACTGTTAACAAAGTATCTGTTTTGTAGATTGAAACACGTTCAGTTTCATCATGCATTTGTCGTGTCCCACCCTACCCCCTTTTCATGTACAGATATCTAATTTTTACTTTCTATCTGCTAACTTATTTGGTTCCTGTTTTTCACCCACATGGATACTGAATATAGAGAAGAACTACTCAATGTTACTCCTTCTCTCATTCCTCCTTTTAGTGGAATGTAACATTTGGCTATATTGATTTATTTTATTTTATTTTATTTTATTTTATATAGTCATGGGACCACTATCCGTTTTTTATACATCTAAAAAAATATCAGTTTGTTCTGTAAATGATAACATTGATGGAGTTATTATTTTATAGTAATATTAAAAGGTTGATACGGAGTGAGCTGAGTTAAATTTGTTAAAATAACTTTTCCACACCTGATTTATTTATTTTATTGAAATTTACCAGTAATCTCTCATCTGAATTGGGCTGCTGGAACACATTGCATAGGTTTTAATGTAAAGAACTGCGCCCCTCCCCCCACCCCATCCCCCTCTCCATCTGATCATTTACAGCTGCTACTTTTTACTAGTCTAGTATCTTAGATCTTTGTTATTTTCTCTAGCTAGTTTGCTCAAATAAATGGCACTTACATTGTTTATGCACATCATACATTTATTAATTTAATATTTTTTATAGATGGGTTTACTAAACAATTCTGGCTTCCATGCGTCTGATTTTCTTCTTATACTGCATTTTAGCATTGTGTTAAATAGTCTATAGATCAGTGAACATGTTTGTATTGTTTTCCTCTGCAAGAGCCATTCAATAGCTGTGCAACCCTGTTCACTGACCTTCATAAAGTGACATTGCTATTGATCGCTGTTCATTTTGTGTCCTGGAGTCTCGTGTGCTCCACTACAAAACATTCCATTGCATTTAATCATTTACAGCCAGTGTGTATGTGAAGTCATTTCACATGCACAAAAAGCAATACCATTCCTCTTAATTTGAGCCATGTGCCCCAGTAATACTAAAGTGGGGAACACGAGAGCCACTGAAAGGTGTGTTCATTAATATTTGCTCATTTATATGAATGTAGGGTAAATAAATCCACATATAAAGTATAGTGGTTAGTCAGGGCTGGATTTACCAATAGGCAGAATAGGCAGCTACTTACAGGATTGTGTCACTTGTTGTATTTCCACTGACTGCAAATAAGATTAAAGGGACACTATAGTCACCAAAACAACTTTAGCCTAATGAGGCCATTTTGGTGTATAGATCATGTGCCTAAAGTTTCACTGCTCAATTCGCTGCCATTTAGGAGTTAAATCATTTTTGTTTCTGTTTATGCAGTTGTCTTTTAATATTGCTACAGTTGTATTATTGTAAACATGTCTCTGCAGTTCTTAGCCACTCGAAGACCTGAGCGTATACTCATACGTTATCATATGCATCATTATATATATATATTTTTTTTGTAATCATGCAACGTTGTAATGGTGCATACAGTGACCCTTTTGATTTGAAGTGATACTATAGACACTAAAAACAACTTTAGCTTAATGAAGCAGTCTTAGTGTATACTAAATTAAACAGACTGTGCAGTAAAGTTAGTTTAAACATTAGATCTATATTTACAGAAAGTGTTTAGGAAGGCTAAATAGGTCACATGCAGAGAGGTGTGACTAGGGCTATGTAACCAAAGTGATTTAATTCCTACATGGCAGAGAATTGAGTAGTGAGACTGCATGGGCATGGTATATACACCAAAACTACTTAATTAAGTTGTTTTGGTGACTACTACAGTGTTCCTTAACTCCAAAAGTACTAAAATGCTCAGAAAAGTGTCACTCACTTTGAGAAGCACATACTGTAGTCATCACTATATAATCTGGATTGAAGGTGCCGCAGTAAATTAAATTATTTAGTCAGTCCCTGCAGCCTTTTTAATGTAAACACTTCCTTATTAGAGAAAATTGCTGCCTAGGGACATCATCTCCAGTGGCGTCACTAGAGGTGCTTCCTGGGTTAGTGCTGCACAGTTTGCAGCACTGACTTTCAGTGTCTCCACGCTCTGCATGGAGACGCTGAACTTTTACCATTGTGCTGCATTGATTCAATACATCTCTATGAAGAGGTACTGATTGGCCAGGTTGGTGTTTGGCTCTGCCTCCTTGGATAGCATTGTGATTGGCTGAGTAAATCACCTTTCTAACCTGCATTGCAAACCTATATTTTCAGAGATACACATTTGTGTTTCTGACACTATAATGTCCCTTTAAGCATGTTTTTTTTTACATATGGGGAAAATGGAAAGGTAAACATCTGGAGTGGTTAATACCATTAGCGCTTTCTGTAAAATCCATGGTAGACCAATGTCAGACCGAACTCTTGGCAGTAATTAAATTCTGCAATCTCAGTTGCATGTAAGTTTGACTTGGCAGTATCTCTGGAGGCACCATATTCATTGTTAAAACTATGGAGATGTAAATTATCTTGAATAAAGAAATGTTCCACAATCAATTTGGCTAACTAACAAGAATTGGATATAGCCAAGGAGAGGGAGAATACATATATCTTCTTTGGGAGGGAAACAGAATAAGCTTTTCGGTCAATTTTGTATTTTGCCAAACTCTACAATTGTTAATGTTTTACAGAGCTGGCCACTACAGGGCCCATGCTCACCTACTGTGGTGATTTTATAATTTCTAATATGTATGTTAATCATTTTAACTTTGTGTTTGTTTTTTTGCAATCATGCAATTTTAAATTGAGCTGAGGTTTCTTTTTCCCTCCATTTAAAGGGATTCTCCAGTGCCAGGAAAACTAATTAGTTTTTTTAAGTTTGACTTTTTTTTTTAATATATAATAGAAACAATAAAATATATAAACATCCATAATATAAATACAATAAATATCGATAAGACAATGTAATAGTTACATCCATAAATATGAACAAATAAATACAGCTTTTAAATAAAGAAAAGTGGGAAAACCAAGGAAAAATAAGGGAAAAGGGGGAGTGTTAATGGAATATATATTACGATCTAGCTTTTTGCTATACCTTTTTAAGAACTCAATATTGTAAATTGCCAAGAGAGTCGCAGTTATTGGAGAGATGTATTATGTTCTATATTTATCTACAGATCTATCAGATTTATAGCATGAGGTCCGCTGAAGACATCTACAAGATACTCACCTCTTACAAGGCCAGCTATGTCATCGTTGAAGATTCAATCTGTAACGATATGGTTGGAATGAAAGGCTGCCGGGTGAAAGATTTACTGGATATCGCTAACGATCATGTAAGATCATTTAATTCTTAATTTATTTTTTTTTTTTATTTCTTCTACATTCTGAGTGCAAGGAGAGTCCATCAAGGGTGAATTTCTACTAGACATGGCTACATTTTAACTTCACAAAGAGCCACTCACAAATGGCCTCATTGCCAGAGAGAGGGGTGTGTGTGCGTTCATTCGTTCGTTCAGTAATCCATAAATAAAACTAAACAGACTAGTTAAGCTCCAGGCCATGTTTATAGTTTAGCATATACACTGATCAGCCACAACATTAAAACCACTGGCAGGTCAAGTGATTAACAGTCATTATATCATTACAATGGCACCTGTCAAGGGGTTAAATATATTAGGCAGCAAGTGAACAGTCAGTTTTTGAATTTCATGTGTTGCAAGCAAACAGATCTGAGTGACTATGACAAGGCCCAAATAGTGATGGCTAGACAACTGGGTCAGTGCATCTCCAAAACAGCAAGGTCTTATGAAAATTCCCGGTATACAGTGGTTTGTACCTACCAAAAATGGTGCAAGAAGGACAACTGGTGAAACTGTGTTAGGCTCAAGGGTGCCCAAGGCTCATTGGTACATGTGAAAGTGAAGGCTTGCCCATTTGATCCAGTCACACAGAAGAGCTATCATAGCTTAAATTGCTAAAAAAATAAATAAAAATTGTTTAACCCCTTAAGGACCAAACTTCTGGAATAAAAGGAAATCATGACATGTCACACATGTCATGTGTCCTTAAGGGGTTAAAGAGACATTGTAGGCACTAAATCAACTTTAGCTCAATGAAGCCGTTTGGGTGTATAGATCATGCCCTAACAATCTCACCGCTAAATTGGTCATGATAGAAAGGTGTCAGAATACACAATGAAATGCATGTGGCCATGTAGCTGACTGATCAGAGTGCCCATGATGACCTCTGTCCACCACAAAATTGCCCTTAATGGAGACATTAACGTCAGAACTAGACCATGGAGCATTGGATACCCCTTTGTGACCAAGACCAAGTATTCCTCTTTATGGCAATGGTGTTTCCTAATGGCACTGGCCTCCTTTAGCAGTATAATGCATGCTGACACGATGCAAAAATTGTTCAGGAATGGTTTGAGGATCATAACAAAGAGGTCCAGGTGTTGCCTTGGCCTCCAAATTCCCCAGATCTCAATATGATTGAACAACAAATCTGATCCATGGATGTCCCACCTCGCAACTGGCAGGACTTATAGGATCTGCTGCTAATGTCTTAGTGACAAATATCACAGGACGTGTGCAAAGGTCTTGTGAAGTCCATGCCTCAATGCATCAGAGCTGCACGAGGAGGACCTACATGCACGATATTAGGCAGGTGCTTTTTAAGTGTGTGTGTCTCAAACACAACGATTCATTGATATTCGTATATAGTGCCAATATAATTCACAGTGCACCACTCTAACTTGTGCCTGAACTTTGGACACACAGCAGCTCACAATTGGACAAGTAATTAACCAAAAGCCCTAAGATGAGTTAAACTAAAAATATATGGCCCTTACAACTTTGCGAAGTAGCACAAAATTCCATTGTCTCCCTTTAAGATTATAAGTGTTAAATAAGTGTTTAATTAAGCCTCATGTGAGTAAATGACATATTGAATTCATTTTTAAAGAAATTTGACCCATTCATGACATGACGGACCATTCCATTTTAAGCATGATACCTCTAACTCCTTTTAATGAAGGGGTTAAGCTGCCCATCTGCTTGTCGGTAGTGTCTGTATTTAGGATTATTTTATGTTGTAGCAGGATATGCACGGCTAGCATTATTAAGACCATTCTTGTCCATTACATGATTATAATGTGCCTTTTCAATGTGTTGTCTGTTTGTACAGATGGTTAACTACGACGGGGACTTTTACGCTTCCTCAAAATATGGACGATTTTGCCATGAAATCAAATTGAATTATTCTCCATATGTGAACTATTTCACCAAAATGTTTTGGAACAGATCCTACTTTGTATATAAAATCAACACACTCATTTCTTTCCAGTTCTGAAAATCACAAACTACACTTTCCTGTCCCCTCCTGTTTCTCTCCCCATTGAACTATCCACGTGGCCGGTACAGCGTGAATTTTTTTTTTTTTTTTATTATCAATCCTTTTATGTGACTCATGAGAAAAAGTGTGCTGATTATTTCTTGCACAAATGCAACTTTTTTTTTTTTTTTCTTCATTTTTTCCTCTGTGGAACGGACACTGGGGCTTCAAGCAAAGACTACGTGCCCAAAAATGAACCCCATCCACTGCCAAGTCATTTGTAAAAGAAATGGCAATCATGGGGGTTATATTGTGTGTTGTGAAAGAACTGTGCACATTTTATTTTGATCTCACAATGCCTAAATAGCACATCATATAATGACAAACTGACAGTAGATGTTTGATACTTGTTTAACAGTCCGTGGGGAAAAAAATGAAATGAGATGCAAATAATTGGAGTTTAGACAATCGTAACCGTTTTTAAATATTTAACACTTACATTGGGTGCCTTTAGTCTGACCTTCATTTGCAATATATGTAAAGTGAAAGTTCCCACTCTCAGCTGATGAATTAATTCCAAAAAGGAGCAGTATCGACATTAATGCGGAAGTTGGAATTTGCAGATCACGTATCTGAGAAGACAAGGCGGTTATTTAAGGAGAGGCCAGGCATGAGGCACCAAATAAGTGTCAAACCGTTCAAACCGTTTGACTATTTAGTATCTGCCGGCGCTAGGGAGTTACTGGTAGCATAACCACTATAATGGGATGTAGTGGTTATGGTGCTTAGACTGACCCTTTAAATGGTGACACAGGTATTCAAGCGTTTGTACTGGAGTGTGGATCCATACCTATGGCACGTTATTGGTATCTGAGAAATGAATGTCGTGTAAAAAGTAAATCTATTGTAATGAATGACATGACTTGAGATCATAGTATGAGATTTGTCTAAATATTTGAATGTGTAAACCAAAAACCTAGGCATTTTTTTTCCCAAAATAATTTTTTTCTTTTTCTTTCTCTTTTTTTTTTTTTAATATTGTGCAGTTCCTCTTCACGTTCTTCTTTGATGTTATTATACACAGACCGGGTTATTCACTGATCTTTAAGTTGTTATGAATTCACTGCGGAATTGCAAAATTTTTAGACCTGAATATCCATGCTAGAAATATGGCTGGCTTGGACAATTTTTGCAACTTGGCTATTCTGACCCACAATTTGCAATTGCTGATTCCTGATAATTAACAACTGAATGGCTGAGTGACTAAAAGTGTAAAGATGCAGTTATAGTGATAAGTTATGTGTTTTGCTCTATTTTATACCTACTGACCTTTTATTTGGTACATGTCGTTAATGTATACAGTTATTAGGAATTATACATGTACGGTACATGATCTGCCCACAGTTTCAACAAACAGATCATGTTTTCAAACCCCATACTGCAATGTTGGTCACATCATGATTTAAAAAATATAATTGCACATTGTGCAGTGTGGGCCTCTAACATTAGTGCAGTGTGGACCTCTAATCCTATGGCAGCACAAAGACATATATCTACCAGCCTGACTGGGATTAGTGGGAATTAAACTCCTGGGCAGCAGCCTCCTCCATTAATTCAGCCTCTCTCCTGTTACTGATATGCCAGAACAAAGGCTGTGAAGACAAAGAAAATGCAATTCTCTCTAGTTTCTCATCCAGAGAGCACCAAGGAAGATGGTCTGAACTAAGAACAGGTGTGTAAATCCCACCAATCTTATAATTTGCACATTTGTGCGCTGCCCAAAGATGAAAGGAACGCTAGCCATAACCCGACTGAAAAAATAATAATCATGTAATCTAAAAGATACAGAACGCTGAACTGTGCATTAGGAAAAAATATTGCCATCTCAAGATTCTAGAACCCTCTGGTCTCATGGTTTATTTCCAGAGCCCCTCTGTGACATTTTTTGCTATAATGGATGTTTAAAAAAACCTGAACTTTTGTTTTTGGAGCCCTAGGCATGGATGGGAGGAGACAAATATTGATCTAATGGGACGGATAGGCTCTTGTTTTCGGATAACTAATAAACCGTACTTGGTTTTGTTTTTTGGGGGGGTTGTGTGTGCCTCCCAGCTTGAGATGCTCTTGCTTGCAAAATAGATCTATTTATGTCAACAACTGGTGAATTGGACATCTGCCATAATAGATTGTGTAATCTGATTGTGTTGTGTTGTCCTTTGACCTACAACACTAGTGGACTTAAAATTTTAGTTTAAAAAAAAAAAAGTCAGTTGTGTCTTCAGTTTGCCAATATGGGTCTAAAATTTGATATTCGCTCTGAAATCCTGTCAATTCTTTATTTTGTAAATAACCCTGTCTGTGGCTAAAGTTGATGGACACTTGATGTCCATACAGTGCCTCTCTATGAGAAGCATTGTACTGGAGAATTGTGGTGATATATATAACTTTTTGTATCCTTTACGGTAATACTGGAAATACTACAAATCATATGAAAATCGTGTAGTTGATAGTTTGACACTACTTAATATGATTATGAATGTTGTCCTGCGCAACGTTTCAGTTCTAAGTGAGCTTTCATCAGGGCAAAAATAACGTAGCTTTGCTTAAACATCAGGCAGGAAATTCTAATATTTCATATTAAAGGGACACTATAGTCACCTGAACAACTTTAGCTTAATGAAGCAGTTTTGGTGTATAGATCATGCCCCTGCAGTCTCACTGCTCAATCCTCTGCCATTTAGGTGTTAAATCCCTTTGTTTATGAACCCTAGTCACACCTCCCTGCATGTGACTTGCATAGCCTTCCATAAACACTTCCTGTAAAGAGAGCCCTATTTAGGCTTTCTTTATTGCAAGTTCTGTTTTAATTAAGATTTTTTTTTATCCCCTGCTATGTTAATAGCTTGCTAGACCCTGCAAGAGCCTCCTGTATGTGATTAAAGTTCGATTTAGAGATTGAGATACAATTATTTAAGGTAAATTACATCTGTTTGAAAGTGAAACCAGTTTTTTTTTTCATGCAGGCTCTGTCATAGCCAGGGTAGGTGTGGCTAGGGCTACATAAACAGAAACAAAGTGATTTAACTCCTAAATGACAGTGAATTGAGCAGTGAAATTGCAGGGGAATAATCTATACACTAAAACTGCTTTATTTAGCTAAAGTAATTTAGGTGACTATAGTGTTCATTTAAGGAGAATGACTGTTATTCTGTTTGTTTGGAGGTGGGGGGGAGGGGAGTTGACATAGCATAACTACAGCTAGAGATTACACTCATTTTATACTTTTTTTGTTGTTGCTTTTTTAGGACATTTTAAGCACTATTTGTTAACATATAGAAACTAATACTGTATTCTATATATTGTATTTTCTGCACTGAAAAAATGTGTTCGGTTTTATTCACCATTATCTCATGCTGCCTTGTTTTTACCCTTTTAGCCACTGCAATGTTCTTGTATTATGTAGTTTTATTTTTATGAATAACCAATTGGCAATGCAACATTTTTACTGATTTCCGATGTATTGATTGAGTGTGGAAGCATGTTGGTTAGGATTTGTTTTTGGGATTTAAAAGAAAGCGTATAATTGTATTGGTTCCAATGACCAAAGAGTTTTGCCAAAGGTAGACTGATGTGTGTTATGTGCATGAATGAAGCACTGATGATTACTGCATGGGTTTTTGGTCTTTTTACCCTTATACAGAAATACCACCGCAACATAAGGTCCTTGCAGCAAAATTACAGGGTCAAAAAAAAAAAAAATCGAAATAATAAACAAAAGAAAGACGTGCACATACACAAATTGTTTTTTACAATCTGGTGATGCAATATTCAAGCAAGCAGTATGTAAATTAGGTCAAAAAAAGCATATTGATTGGATCACTGTCTATGCCTTGTTTTTACCAAACCCCACTTCCCCCCCATAACCAACAATTATCCAACAGTACAGACACTTCGATAAATTCTATGAAATTGTGAACAGGGTTTAAACCAGTTTATCAACTGACTGATTCATGACTTGCCCCCATCACTATTGTACTTAAAATGCAATTAAATATGAACATTTTGTAGAAAAAATAAGGTGTAAAAAAAAAACGAAACTCTAAATCCACCACAATTTTCTGTAAACTATTTAGTAAAAAAATAAATAAATGTATCTGTATGCCAAGTAAAGTCTTTCTGCCCATCAGTGTGAAACTCCTGATTTATTGCTGTTGGGTAACATTATAACAAGCTGGGTGACCGTTACTGACACCGTGACAGTTGTGTCAACGAGTTTGTCAACTGCCCACCGAACTCAAAACATTTTAATGTTCCACAAATGTTAGATTTTTAAAAAGTAGAAATGAGTGATTGTTACCAATAAATGCAAATGTTAATGATTCTACAGTTTGGAATGTCTATTTATTGATCAAGTTTTGCCTCTCTCGGTCTGTACACTCCTATCCACTGACTATTTAGAAATAGGTCATTATCAGTTGTACAGTGTCAGATCAACATCCCATGCATGCATTCAAGTGTCACTGTTATTAAGACAAAAATATAAACAGAATGTATCGAAAACATGTGATGTCAGCAGACCCTCAATTGCAATGCCAACACTTCTACTATTCAGTCAAAGGCCACTAGTCATTGTTCTGCTCAGGTAGGGTGGGAGCTTACCAGAAAATATAATTTGCTTTATTTAGATTAAAGTTTACAATTTAAATCAATGTTATTGGACTGGTAAAGGATTTCCGCTGTCTCTCAACCTGCAGTAATTCCATAAAAAAAACAAAAAAAAACTGAAGGCAGATAATTATTCATGAAGAGTCATATAGGCTTTTCTAAGCATCTTTCCTACTCGAGAAAGCTTCTTTTCAGAATGGCTTATTCTGTCTCCCCTCCTCACTCTTGTGCAATTTTTTTAAGTAAGTTCTAAAGAAGTTTGAACAAAAGGAAACATATCAAAAGCCAAAACCCTGATTTAATTTTGTTTTCTGTGTCAAGTTGTAGCACACAAGACCTCCTTTTGAGTCAAAAATGTTCTTGTGTTAGAAATATTGTGTGCACTTTATACCAGTGTATGTATATCACTAATTATGTATTGGCAACATTCAAATAAATGTTTAAACTAAATATTTTTTTTACAGATTTAGTTACTTATTTTCTGTTATAGATGAATTATATGGGGCTTTTAAAAAAAAAAAAAAAATTAAAAAAAAATCTTTTTTTTAAATTATCACTTTTTCCCCCCCTCTTTTTTGAAATTTGACTGTTCGTGCATCCAGTCCAGATTTACAAAAATAAGTAGGTAACATCCATGAATATCTGAATGATGGGAATACACAACCAAACCCTCAAATACTGGACCGAATGATGGAAATTTGGTCCAACCAACCTTGTAGGCAACTCCGTTTTCATTATAAAGAGCCGCAATTGGCATCATGTTGCTAAAATTATTGGGGAAAAAAGTGTAAACTCCGCAAGAAAGCTTCAATATACTCCATAACTAAAAAAATTATAAATTATTATTTTTCCATTACCCTACTGGCTTCTTGTGCGTGTGGTTGAGATTTTTATATTGGATTTGCATGTGATCACTGATTTTAAAGTGAGTCCTGGATAATCCTGAATCAGATGGTACATAATTGGATTGAAATACCCAGATTGGCCTTTACTAAATATGAAAATTGCAAATTTCATAACCAAATTATGCTAAACTGTACTTTATTCAGACGTAAGTGAATAGCGTTTTAGGTGCCTGTTTTAACATTTAATGTGCTATTTTTATGGTGATGTAACTTTAATGGCTTAGTAACCAAACCATGAGTTGTGGTGTCTTGACAACAAAAATTAAAAATATAAGCAGAAATTGTTGAGTTAATTTTCCTGTATTCAAGCCAACAGTTCACTATAAATAAATGAACAAATGTGTTTTTGCACAACCTAACCACAATGCCGAAATATGCAAATAAGTACAGAATGCATTCACTTTCCCAGAATTCCATCCCACCTTCCTGTGTGCACCCTCTGAGATGCATTTGGTCTAAGACATCTCAATGAACCAATCCCTAACTGTGAACAGCTCTGTTTTGTCCTTCTGGGTCTTTTCAATATGCAAAGATTTGTTTCAATGCTATTAATCTCTATGATAGTTCGTCTGAATTCAGAACCAACAGCCAGTGGCAGAACTACTGATGGTAGAGCTGCACCCGGGCATTCACGACTTGGGGGCACATCGGGTGGCCCATGCACAAAGGCCAGTTGATGAGTATTACTGCTAAACAGGGGTCCAGTCTGGTGCTGTGGCCCTTTAAGAGCCTGACCAGGCCCCCGAAGTATTGGTGATGATCCCCTTCCCCGAGAATACAGTGCTGCGCTGGGGCCTGCGGGTGTTGGGAGGCTCATCAGGGCACAGAAGAGGAGGGCTAAAGAGGGCACTGGAAGGGGAGGGAAAAAATAATGGCACAGGAAGGGAGGGGGCTAAAGAAAAGCACAGTTGGGGAGAGGAGCTAAAGAGGGCATAGAAGGAAAGAAGAATTCATGTAGGGGGGCTACATGAGGGCACAGGAGTGGGGGGATACATGAGGGCACCGTAGGGGATAGGGCTACAGAAGAGCACAGGAGTGAAGGGGAGCTAAAGAAGATGAGGAAAGGGGGCTAAAGATGGCACAAGAGGGGGGAGCACAGAACACACATATGGGTTGGGGACATAGACTCAAAGAGGGGCTGAGGTGGGACAAAGACACACAGAGGGGCTGGTGGGCACATAGACACACAGAGGGGCTGGGGGCACAAATAGACACACAAGAGCTGGGGAAAAAGAGGAACCAAGAAAAACACGGGGGGGCAAAGAGTAACTGGAGAAGGGGAAAAAGAGACTCTCATACACAAAGGAGTTGGAGAGAAACATGCACAAAGGGCTGGGGGGAAAAAAGAGATACAAAAAGGGATTGCGGGTAGAAACTGACACCTGCTGGCGTAAGAAAGAGGCCTGTCAGTCAGCCACAGCCTGCCTGGATCGGCCCTGGAAAGACACGTGGTCTGCAGCTATGCCCCCTTCGGAGCTGCAGACTGAATATCATGGCCACTGGACCACCAGGGAATGGATTTCTTTAAAAAAATGAATTTTAGTGTGGGGAGGCTGCTCACTGAAATAGCCTCCCTAAACACTGTAGTGTCCCCCTTCTCCCACTTGTCACCCCCTTTCACCTGTCATTCCACACAGTATCACCCACACACATACTGGCACCCCCCTCAAATGTCACACACTGCCAGCCCCCCAGAAACACACATACACACTGTTACCCCCACACAAAAACACTGGAATCCCCACACACACTGTCACCCCCCACTCACTGTCACCCTCACACATACACTGTCCCCTATAACACACACACACTGTCACCACCTGCACACACACATTGTCACCCCTTACACACTGTCAACCCCTACACACACACTGTCACCCCTACACACACATTGTCTTCCCCTACACACATACTGTTACATCACCCACATACACTGTCATTCCCCCTCACACACACACACACACACACACACACACTGTCATCCCCTACACACATTGTCACCAAATAAGTGCCCCCCCCCCAGTTTTGACTGTGGTATCTTAGGTCCCCCCACTCCCCACTATATATTATTCCTAGAGTCACCACTGCTGCCAATATCTAATAACCCCTTAAGGACACATGACATGTGTGACATGTCATGATTCCCTTTTAATCCAGAAGTTTGGTCCTTAAGGGGTTAAAGGAAAACTCTAGTTGCAGAAACTCAAACATGCATTCTTGACCCTATAGTGTTAAAACCACCATCTGGCCCTCCCTGTTAACCCCCATGCCTCCCTAAATATAGTAAAATGTTACTTGTATTCAAGCCTGCAGCTGCTGCCTCTGCCAATAATCTGCCTGCTTGGCTGCAGCACTGCCCCAGGAAGCACCACGTGCAGCCATCTGAGTGGCGGCCAGTGGAGGTATCCCTTGGCTGTAATTTAAACACTGTATTTTCTCTGAAAATACAGTGTTTACTGCAAAAATCCTGAAGGGAATGATTCTACTCACTAATAAGATGTAGTTGTTCTGGTGATTATAGTGCCCCTTTAATCAAATACAGCCACAGTGTAGTGCTTATGGTGCCAGAAATGCACTGGCACTTCACCCATGTGAGTATTAAAACCAAGATTGACAACTTACTAGGTCTGCTGGGTTCCAGTCACTTGAGAGACAGAAGCTCCTCTATTATTATTAAGTTAGCAAATGATTTTACTACTTGCACTTGGCGGTGGATTTCAGGGCACTACTGGCACCATAACCATTACACCATGCTGTAATGTTTTTGGTGCAAGGACTGTTCCTTTAAGATCTCACCTTCTAGAGTTAGCGACTGGCAAAGGATCTCCCCTATGCTTTAAGAGGTCCAAGACTCTCTAACTAAAAAACACCTTTATATACTCTGAGTGATGTGATATACCCCTCTGAGTCCATTTATCTTTTCCAGGAATCCCACATCCTATCTGAAGTTAAAGGGTGTGGGGAATTAGAAAACATGTCACATATTGATTTTTACTGGTCCTGTTACTAGGATATTACATAATTCTCAAAAAAAAAATGTTTTTACGTTAAACTTGTCTATTCCCACATATTTTCTTTGTTGTTCCGCACTTATCACAAAGTGCAGCTTATTGAACAAATCACTATATTTCTGTGGATGAATCATTCTTTAAATTTAGAAATAGCTGTAAATGTGAGAGCATTACTTGACATGGCAAGGCTAGCGTAAAAAATAACTTGTAATCTGACCATCTGGATGTGGGAGTTTGTTTTTAGTCATTCTTTGTGTGAGATACTATTTCCTCTTCCCGCAGATTGGAGATTCATAATCACTACATTAATTGTAACATCCAGATATTCTGATAGGCAGATAAATAATAACTACACAATAAGAAATGCAATGAACCATGATATGGGCAGTAACAAAAGTTTAAAAAAGCTATACAATTTTTCTATATTTATTAGCACTTTTTTCAGTTAATAGATTTTATTGAGTGTTCACCTTAACAGCACAAAATAAATAAAATAAATAAACAAACACTGTATAGGAAACAGTGAGTGAGAGAGAGAAAAGAAAAAAAAGAAAATCCCATCTCCCGATAGAGTAAGTCAAATGCTAGTCCCATTGTCTTGCTTACACATAATGTAACTGCATGGTATTTCCAACACTACATGGTATATACCTTGATCCGAAGGTAACAATTTGCATCAAGGTTTGCATTAGTTTCGGTCTGAATGTGTATTCGAAAAATGTTGGGAAATTCGGACATTCGGATGCTTACGAATGTCCAGGTAGGGGTAGGGTAAGGGTTAAGGTAGTGTTAGGGGTATGGAAAGGTTAGGATAGGGTAAGGGTTAAGGTAAGGTTAGGGTTAGTAAGCCCTACAGATTTTCAGAATTACCAAAGTCCCGAATTGCCAAAGTCCTGAACTTCAAGAAGTGCCGAATATCAAGAAGTGCTGAACCAAACTGATCATGCACGTCCCTACTAGTAACCACAAATGAACCAGACTTAGAAAAGGACCTATGGGGGGGGGGGGGCGGCGGCTTGCCCATAATGCAGCCGGGTGCGAGGCCCCTCCAGTCAGTCTGCCCATGAGAGAGCCAGCCGTCAGTCTGCAGCTCTGCCGGGAGTGAGCTGCAGACTGAAGTGTCTTGCGATCTCCCGCCTGTCAGAGCGTTGCCGTGAGTCACAACGGCAGCGCTCTGACTGGAGATAGCGAGATTTGCCACATGGTCTGCAGCTCACTCCCGGCGGAGCTGCAGACCGGAGAGAGAGAGGGTGCTCGCCAGACCACCAGGGAAGGTATTTATGAACCCCCTACAACACAGCGACACTGCAAGCCTCTGAACAATGAATACAGAGACTAGCTCTCTCTATCCAGCGCTGCAAGCTTTGTCCAATACAGCTACAGCACCTTTATACACACAATAAAACCCCTCTTTATTTCCCCACTTTGGGTGTTAGTGGGAACCTCATATTTCAGTTTCGCCAAAGGCCTCACAAAGT